AGGGGGCGATTTTATCAGATTCGTACTTTCCACGATCCAGGTGATTCGCTTGAATGATTTCCCGTTGAAAAAATGAGCCTTTCACCTATTCTGGTGTTCCTTAACTGTGGCCAGTTCTCAAGAAATAAGGAAGTCAGATAGTTCACCCTTCCGTCTGTCCAAGTTTCACCCTGCAGACATAAGAATACCAACCGGAATACTAGTTCCACTTCATGTATAAATGTGCATAGATGATGTACGGGTGGAGGTGGTATAGCGGCAAGTGGCGCACCATCTCACGCGAATGGTCTTGGGTTGGAATCCCGGACGGATAACGCCTAAACCAATCAAGCCTTCCATTTCTCCGGGGTCGGTAAATTGGTACCAGACTCGCCTGAGATGATAACAACACTGACCTGTACATCGACTGGCCACCGCAAGCCATTGTGTAGGCCACGTACGCTTCTACAATTCTGCATGGAAGTCGAAAGCGTGGCGCATCCCTCAGGTGGGACTGGCTAACCCCCAAAGACTATTCATATTCTTTCTTCAGAGCAACTGCTGAGTTGATTAGGTCATGAAGAAGTGCAAACATATAAAAACGTTGTGTTCTATTTTCATAACTTGGTTAGTAAGCGACTGAATAAATAAATAATTCATATAGTGAATCGTTGACATACCGGTCTACGAACATCGGGAATGGTGACCCACATGGGAATGAGCACAGGAGCTAAACAGATATACGTAACTTGTTTAGTGAATTTATCCGGCCATTCCATATTTAGTGGTTGTTCCTCCTCCTCTTCTAACAAGGACTTCTGAAGAAGGCAATTGGTTAAGCTCCACCACCTGGGTAAAAAATAGCCGTAAACTCACAATCTCCTCGATTTGAGACGAACGTCGATCCGGTCGGGACGGAATTGTGAGCTCAACTTTCTGAAATCCAGAACTACATCCAGAAAATAACACAGTGAGGCCGTTTTTGACTTGAAATTTCCGCCCACAAGACCTAATGAGGGCCTAAATCCGATGATCCCTCAATGTTCAATGGGGTGCATGACAACGTCGTCGTCACAGGGGAATATTTTGACGTGGCGCCGATTTATGTTTACGTGAAGCCTCATCAATCTTTCCCTGAGAGAGCGCTGAAGAAGACCTGACACTTGACGCATAGCCTCGTCAACTAAACGACTTTAAAGAGATTTTCGTCCCCACCCTTGACGGCTATCCTGCTGCCCGCTGTCAAGGATCCTCAGATCAAATGAGTGTTCGACAGACGGACTGATGACAGCAAAAATGCCATCAAATTAGGAAATCAAGAAATGATGCCCGGGGAAATCAAAGTTCCCAAGCTAATTATTGTAATTTCCATACGAAAAGGGGTTGCTCGTTTTCCAATTGGAGCGGCCGACCGGAAAATGATCGCGCCATCACAATTGCGCCATTCATCTTACCACAGCTCGAAAAACTGCCAAACTGCACTATCGCTTGGGGATCGCGAAAAACACCCGTGAAATGACTGGAAATTTTGCTCTCACGACAAGAATCAATAGCTCGAAAGTCTAGGAGGGGGTGGATGGGGTTTTAGGACGTTCACATTACTTGGGGAAATGACCAATTCACTTTTTACCCCATCTAGAGCTATGTTTGAACTCCGCACTTGCTTAGAAGCTCATAGAAACTTTAGTTCTTAGTAACTTTCAAATCCAAGATTCTCGCCAGTCCACAGCATTATGANGCAGTTCGAAAAAGTGAATGTGGACGCAGAAAACGTGTGAGAAACTTGCCACCAAATCAATTCGATCCCTTCTCCCCATCCCTCCATCCCCTTCCCCCACCCCTCTTCGACGATTAGGCGTATTCGGTTGCCGTTGCTGAGCCGTGGCTGAGATCATTTGGGCGTTTGCACGGCATATGACGTGACTCTTCAGCGGAACTACATAATCCCAGTGCTCAATCCCACAGCCCGAAGACTGGCTTCTAAGCTCATAATAGCAAACATTGCCCCAGAAATTGTAAGCGCCGCCTAAACCCTCAGATAGGAATGTTTCTCTTGAATAAGGTATTTGGGTGAACTATTACAATCCGATTTAATGGATGACACCATCATGTTTTATCAGCCGTAGTCACAAGCAGCTTATGAGTTCTATCCCCGGCCACTGGAACGCGGATAGGAGGGAGCCCCACGTCAATGATGATACGTGCCTTTTAATCGACGTGCACCCTCACCACTCTTGACTTTACGTGACGCCCTTCTCATTATAATAATTTAATCAGCAACAGCAACCACCCTTGAATACGACTCGACGGCCAGTTTGGGCGTTTGACACTCCCTTTGAGGAATGTGCCCCGCATTCGACTTCCATTCAAATACAGATTTTACAGTGAGCAATTCTTATCCAAGAGGGTAATGCTGAGGGGGCGATTTTATCAGATTCGTACTTTCCACGACCGAGGTGATTCGCTTGAATGACTTCACGTTGGAAAAATGAGCCTTTCACCTATTCTGGGTCCCCTAACTGTGGCCAGTTCTCAAGAAGTAAGAAATTCAGCATAGCCCACCCTTCGTCTGTCCAAGTTTCACCCTGCAGACATAAGAATACCAACCGGAATACTAGTTCCACTTCATGTATAAATGTGCATAGATGATGTACGGGTGGAGGTGGTATAGCGGCAAGTGGCGCACCATCTCACGCGAATGGTCTTGGGTTGGAATCCCGGACGGATAACGCCTAAACCAATCAAGCCTTCCATTTCTCCGGGGTCGGTAAATTGGTACCAGACTCGCCTGAGATGATAACAACACTGACCTGTACATCGACTGNNNNCGGACTGATGACAGCAAAAATGCCATCAAATTAGGAAATCAAGAAATGATGCCCGGGGAAATCAAAGTTCCCAAGCTAATTATTGTAATTTCCATACGAAAAGGGGTTGCTCGTTTTCCAATTGGAGCGGCCGACCGGAAAATGATCGCGCCATCACAATTGCGCCATTCATCTTACCACAGCTCGAAAAACTGCCAAACTGCACTATCGCTTGGGGATCGCGAAAAACACCCGTGAAATGACTGGAAATTTTGCTCTCACGACAAGAATCAATAGCTCGAAAGTCTAGGAGGGGGTGGATGGGGTTTTAGGACGTTCACATTACTTGGGGAAATGACCAATTCACTTTTTACCCCATCTAGAGCTATGTTTGAACTCCGCACTTGCTTAGAAGCTCATAGAAACTTTAGTTCTTAGTAACTTTCAAATCCAAGATTCTCGCCAGTCCACAGCATTATGATGAACTTACCGGCAGTGGCGGGGGTGACGGTGTCGAAGCCGAACGGCGGGTTGAATCCTCTTCACTTCCTCCTGAAATTTCGCCGTTTATTCAGGGGAATTCGACGAAAATCCGTTTAGCGTTGCTGTTATTTTGATGGAGACGACGAGTCTCATGGGAGGGAGTCGGGAACGCCGACTCCATTTTTCCCTCGATGGGCATGGGACTTATGCATGACTGATAGTGGCCGAAATAGGGCCCTATTGACTCGGCGGTTCGATTGCTTATTGTCTGGTAGGATTTCATAGAAGTTGAGCATGAAATTTTCAGAGAATTGATTTCGTTGTTATGATCTTAGGTGTAGGTGTTGTAAGGGCAAATGGCGTTAAATAGCTATCACCCACACGATCCGGAGATCGGATCCCGATCAATACCAGCCCATTCCAACCAAGCTTTTTACTTGGCACCTGGGAGGATGAAAGCACTGATTTGGACACTGTTTGGTCACCACCGCCCATTCTATACGTCACACATGCGTTCAAAGCACGTTCACACAGACGTTTGGGAATTGAAGTCGAATGCGTGGGACGGAGTTTGATCAACGCCTAAGGGCTATCCTTTATAACTTGATTCATTCAGGGCAGCGGCAGGTGGCAACGCTATCACGGGTATGGTTCTTAGAGGAGTTCCCACTTTAAAGCCCCCAGACCCAACGACCCTTTCCTCCTCATCGCTTTGTTAGGGCATCCTAACCTACAAAAACTACAATTAGGGACTGGAAGACTTGTTCTTTCATTGGCTGGCCGCCGTAATTTAGTGTGAGGACTGTTCACGTATTCAAGTGCTACTACGAATTTGAATGAAAGTCCAGTCTGTGGGTGTTCATTTGGGAGTTGACAGTCCCGAGCACGACTGCTCGACCCCGGAAATCCTACTCTTTACTTGGCAATGCTAACTAATGGCGTCCATCGACAATTTCCGTTTGTTCGAAAGGTCAAGAAGAGGTCAGGGAGGCGAAGGCCCAGAAACTTTCAGGGACGACTTTTGCATAATGAATTGATTTGTTGAATAGAGATACGGATCGAACCTTCTGGCACTTCATCGAGCGTCTGATGCATAAGCTGCATGATTCCCGTGCGAAACATCGTTCCTGAGTGCAAGATCGGTATGGATGACCGCCTAAAATACATTTATTAATAAGCTCACTGGTTATTCTTGTGGGTGGGTCATACCTGCGTGATAGCGACATGTTCCTTTCGGTCATTACCATGCCATCCTCGGGATCTTTGTAATCTAAGTTGATGTTCTAAAAAAATGACTGCCTTTAACTTCATTTCTCACCTTCACCCATTCAGGTTTCTACTCGTTTTATTAGTTTTCCATATGATAAATTATTTTCCGAGGAATAACCGATGCGAGGGCGGAGGTGGTGTAGGAGCAAGGGGTGGGTGCACTATCTTAAAAGCATGGTCACGGGTTCGAATCCTAGATCGATATCCGCCTAAGTTAACCAGGCTCTTCATTCCTTAAGGGTTGGTTAATTGGTACCAGACTCGTCTAGGAGGGTAAAAGCACTGGCTTGTTCATCAGCTGACCATTGCAGGGCATTCATTACGCTACTACGATTCTGAATGGAAGACGAATGCGAGGCGCATCCCTCACACGGGATTGGTCAACGCTAAAAGACTTTAAGTACTGTGCTATTGTTATAGCATTTGGCCCTAGTTCAAACTCTTCTCCTTCCAGAGAACAGAGGGAAGAGTTGCATGTGCTGCAGAGCTGTACTTCACGAGAGCTATGGACTAGAGGAATGAGAAGCTTTGACCGAAAATGGAAATTAGGTGCGATGGATATGCAAATTTGATAAGGAAGAAAAAGGAAAGGACGTGCAATTATAAAAGGTAGTAACCAGGCGCAAATGAGGGAGTAGGTAACAAATGGGAACATCACTTGTGTAAACGGGCACCCATTTGAAAAACCATTTGGGCAAGAGAATGGCTGCTTTCATAGTCCGCCGGCCGGCCGGCGTGCCACGAGGCAGTGCTTAGGGGGAGGAGGGCGGCAGACGGCCAGTCGAAGGGCTGAAACAAAGAAGCCCTTCGAGGGGCTGACCGACCGTCTGCCGCCCTCCTCCCCCCTAGCACTGCCTCGTGGCACGCCGGCCGGCCGGCGGACTATGAAAGCAGCCAATCAGTCGCGTTTTTTAACATTAT